CTCCTTGTTTATTCTTCCTGCTTGATGGCAGTGGGTGTCCATTTCCTTGCCCCTGTGCCATGGATAGGCTGCAAGTGTGGAGAATCTTGTGTGGGGCTTGTGTAGAGATGGTTTTCCTGTCTGATAGAAGAAAGGGGGATTTTGCAGTGGCCCAGCTTGGTGTTCATCCACCCTTTTCCCAGAACTGCAGAGGCAGGGAAGGAGTCATCTGTGCCACGTGTTTGTTGTTAATTTTAGCTTTACCATAACTCTTGATGACAGGGCTTGGTTGTTTCCTACTGTAGGCAGCATGTAGCAGTTATCCTGGAGGTATGGTGTGGCTGCAAGACAGTGAAGCTGCAGCTCATCCCTGGGCCATGGTGCTCAGTCTGTGGATTCTCCCTGCCCACACAGCTGCTGCCTGCTGGAGTTGAGGGGCCACATGGTACCATTTTTCTTGCTTTCGTGCTAAATCTTTTTTTTTTTTTTACATAAGGATGGCAATTAGGCACAGGCTGAATTCCACCTGTGTCTGAGGCCAAAGCTTGGCCCGAAGGTGGTTAAATATCTGCCATTGATATGCGTGGCATTTATCAGGTTTTTTTTTCCTAATTCTGGCTGCCTGGTGAAGTCTGTATAAAGTAGCAGCCTGTACTGGCACGGCCAAAAGAGCATTATCAGATCTGATGTACAGGTCCCAAACTGAACTTCATGTGCTAGCACAGGGAGCTCTTAAAAGTACCAGCAGGCTGAAAAATAGATTGTTCCCGATACCTTTGTAATTATAACGCATTGCATTTGATCTCAGGTCTGGAGCAAAGTCACTGAACACATCAGAAAGTTCCTGTCTGATCTGCTGCTGCTGCTGTGAGCTCCCCAGGAGCTGTGCCTCTGATGCTGTGCTGCCATGCAGCACTGGAGGCTTGCCTGGCTTGTGATGTTCTCACTGATGTGCTCAAGCTCAGTCAAGTGGACTGGTTAAAGATGTGGGGAGCACTGGCCATGGGCTGGAGTCCAGCAGGGAGTCTCTGGGAGCTCCTTCTCTTTCCTGTACCATTTCTGTTGATGGTCCTTTGCTGGGCTCCAGGGGGTGTTCCTTCAGTCTCACTCTGTTTGGTTAAACGCTCTGTTTGGTGTGAACGTATCTCCACCCCAGCCAAGGCCTCTGTGGCACTGTGCTCCAGCCTCCATGGCAGCTTTCAGTAAATGCAACATCTTGTAATGTATTTTTCTGGGTAGAGACACCAGATCTGTAGGAGAGCTGATGACCTGGGTAGAAATGTAGCAGCTGATGTGTTAAAGATCTAGGGTACAGCTGACTGCTCGGAATTGAGCTGTCAGGAGGGGCAAGGAATTATATAAAGGCAGAAGTTGTTCTGAAGTCATGTCAAGGGAAGTGTCAGAAACGAGACACGATTGCTCTGCTACAGAACATTCTTCATAGGTGGTTTAACAAGCCTTGGAATTAGATCTGGGGAAGGAGGGAAAAGTGATGTAGCTGTTAGGTCAGGGCTTCACAAGCCAGCAGTGTGCAGTCTGGGCTGTGACTGGTGGAAAAGCAGACCTGAGCAGCCATGTAATCAGGGCTTCTCCTAGGCAGTTATGAGCTCACACTAAACTCACACTGCAGCTGCATATATATTTTCCAAAATACACTTTTGGAATTTTACATATACTTTTTTAGTATGCTAATCATCGCTGTGGTCATTCCTTCCTGGAGTTAATGACTACTCTCTTGGAGAAAACAAGTTAACAAACTGACAGCTGCTCCTAACAGATCACTTGCTTGGAGAGGCCACTGCAAGTTTAGCATCCACAATAAATCCTTCTTTTGCTTCTGATGGTTCAGTGTAGCAATGTCACAGAAATGAGGTAATAACTTGCATTAATCAAAGCAGTTTGGACGGTAGTAGATTTGTGCACAAGAGCCCAGAGACAGAATTGCCAGAGTTACAGACTGTGGGTTCCTGCTCTACTTTGAAAGCCTTTAAGCATAGATGGGAAAACATAGTTCAGTAATCAATACCCATCTTTGATCAGTTAACTTTTAACTCATGGCAAATAGAAAATGTTTTCCATAACATTTGGTTACAAATAAATGAATAGACTTGGCAGCCTTGGATAAGGCAACAAATGTTCTGACATTCCCATTTCTTGAATCATGGCTGAGCTCACCCAAGGACTGGTATTTTCTTAACAAGTTTGCAATAAACTGATGGATCTGGATGGCAGTTAGTTTGTCTCACTAGGTTTAGCTGTTAAAGTTACAGTTTTTGCTTCCCCAAATTTCTGAGATCAGGTTTAAGATTTTAAAAAATACTAATGGATATATTGGGTTTTGATATTTATAATTTGATTTGACAAATAGTCTCAAATAGCAACTTTGTGCCAGAATGTTGAGCTACCTGAGTGAAAAGCTAATCTCCCTTCATGACATGAAATGAGGGAGTTAAAGGTATAAACATCAATAAACCCTGTGATTTAATGAACAGTCTTTCCATTTCAGTACTGGAATTTGTAGTACAGGCAGACTACTTTTTTAAAACTTGCCAGTATCCCAGTTAATGTGATCACAGTCCACAGCTCATGCTGATGGCTGTGTTGATGCTGCTCTGAACTGAAGCAGTTCCGTTTTAGAAAGGGTGTGTTGCACTGGGGGCTGGCATGGGCAGGTTTGGTGCTGGTGGCTCTGTGAGAAGCTGCCAGAAGCTTCCCTGTGTCCAGCAGAGCCAATTCCAGCGAGCTCCAGGACAGACCCACCCCTGGCCAAGGTTGGGCCCAGCACTGACAGTGGCAGCACCTCTGGGAACACTTGGGAAGGGGGAGGAAATCCCCCTGGAATTGCAGCTGGTGGGAGCAGGGAGGATTTGTGAGAGGAGCAGCTCTGCAAAGCCCCAGGGCAGGGCAGGAGGGGCAGGAGCTGCTCCAGGTGCTGGAGCTGAGGTTCCCCGAGCCCGGGGAGCAGCCCAGGGAGAGGCAGCTGAGCCCCCCAGCCCTGGGCTCCAGGATGGATCAGGGATCCTTTCCCCCCAGCCCTGGGCTCCAGGATGGATCAGGGATCCTTTCCACCCCCCAGCCCTGGGCTCCAGGATGGATCAGGGATCCTTTCCCCCCAGCCCTGGGCTCCAGGATGGATCAGGGATCCTTTCCCCCNAGCCCTGGGCTCCAGGATGGATCAGGGATCCTTTCCCCCCAGCCCTGGGCTCCAGGATGGATCAGGGATCCTTTTCCCCCCAGCCCCTGGAGGCCCCACATGGGAGCAGGGGGTGCCTGAAGGAGCTGTGACCCCAGGAACTCCAGCCTGGAGCAGCTCCTGGCAGGACCTGTGGCCCCGTGGAGAGAGGAGCCCAAGCTGGAACAGGTTTGCTGGCAGGAGCTGTGACCCCACAGGGGACCTGGGCTGGAGCAGCTCCTGAAGGACTGACTGCACCCATGGGAAGGACCAGGCTGGAGCAGCTCCTGAAGGACTGACTGCACCCATGGGAAGGACCAGGCTGGAGCAGCTCCTGAAGGACTGCAGCCTGTGGAAGCTCTCACACTGTAGAAGCTCATGGAAAAATGTCTCCCAAGACAAGAGAGGGACACCTGTTCATGATATGTTGATGTTCCCCCATAAAACTTGCATTTTTTATTTTGCATGTACTTACATAGAATGTGCGCAGCAGTGGAGAATTCTGGGAGATATAAGCCTGGTTTTGTAGTTCTGTAGTTCCTGAGTCCTTAGGTGTATTAACAGTTTTGTTGCTGCCAATGATTAATGCCAAGCTTGTGTGTGCACTTCTGGAAACAGAGCCTCAAACAACACAAGGAACAGAGCAGTTTGTTTAGAGTTGCAAAAAAAAATTCATTTTTATTTTCTACTGTAGTACTTTAGTATTTAAAAAATATCACCAGCCTTGTGTTGGTGGATTGTCCTGCTAGGATTGAATAGAGACCTGTGGACATCTCAGAGAAACTTAAAAATCAGCAGTCCCAATTGTGTGACAGGAGGACATGGATTCCCCCGAGTTTAAATTCTTCTTCATAGGGATACAAAACCAAAGTGACCCTTGAATTAATTCCCTTCCTTGGTTTGAATTTAGAGAGGTTACGCATAGGTAGAAATAAATGCACAGGCAAAAGACTCTCAAAAATAAAAACCAAAAAAACCCCAAAACTTTGACGAAATAGGTTTAAATACTCCCCAAAACCAAACCATCCCCCAAAAACCCCCTTTGTAGAGCTTACTGAAATCATGACCTCCCTGTGAGTTTGCCATGTGTAGAGCTGACCACTGACTTGCTGCCTCCTGGTGCTTTGGTTTCCTGAGGGCTCCATGGGAGTCACCCCTGGCATCCCCAGGAGCAGGCGTGGGCCCTGAAGGTGCATTTCTGAGCCCACTGAAGCACACCTGCCAGCCTGAATTTCTCCCTGAGACCAGCAGCAAGGCAGAGGCTTTGCTGTTCGGTGTGTAAGGTGCCAGGTTGTACATCTTCTGTTCATGGGGAATTAAACAATTCCTAGATGTGATTGACAGATCCATTTTCCCAGTGGCTTTCACTGCAGACAAACGTGCTTGATGTTGTGTTTGTGGAGAGAGCCAAGGAGAAATCTTTTGGGCTCGGACTGAGTTGTTGTTTTATCAGTGGTTGTTGAGTGTCATGTGGTGGAGCACTTTGTTGGAAGGTCTCACTCAATTATTTCTTGGGCTGGCAGAGTCATTTGCAGAGAGTGTGTGGATTTCTCTGTCCTTTCTGGCTGCACCTGCATCCTCTGGGTTTGTGTCTGTAGCCAGCTTCAGTCTCCCTGCATTGAAACACCAGCAGAGGCTTGGCCCCCCTTAATTTTGGGTTGATTTCCATGCATTTGTTTCCCTGCAGCCGCCTGCTGCACTCTTGGGTACTTGAATCTATTCAGGGTGAGGAGCACATTGATTTAGGGTATCAATGGTGGGGGTATCCTGAGTGTTGTGAATCAATGGCCTGGAGCTGTTTTGAGGAGCTGTGGAGGATTTTAACTTTGATTCTCTTTCTGCTTTGTAGGTATTTGTATAAAATGTGGAAAAGGTGTGTATGGAGCGAGCCAAGCTTGCCAAGCAATGGGCAACCTCTATCATACCAACTGCTTCACGTGCTGCTCCTGTGGTAAGTCACATCTGCCATGCCCTTGTTCTGTGGCTTCCCTTAGCAGCCAGTGTGCTGAGACCTCATCCTGCCTGCTTCCCCAGGCACAATTCCCACGCAAGGCTCCAGCTTCAAAAGTTGTTTTTTATTTGCCATCTGTAAGTGCTCAATGATGTTTTCCTAAGCAGCAGCCCAGAAAAGTAGTGTTTGGTTGTTCGAAGGGCTGCATTTACAAAATGGCTTCAACCTGGCTGTTAGAAGCACTATATGCTTTAAATCACTTGTGTTTATGGAACTGTAATGTGCATGTATCATTTTTATGGAAAAAAAGAGGTAAAATTTGTTTGGCCAAAACCATATTTTTGTCACTTTCTATTTGCAAATGCAAGTCTAGTCAGGCGTGTATTTGTCATTTTTGTGTATGCACAGTACTCAAAAATTGTTCACTTATGGTTGAATATGACGAGAACAAATAGCAACTCTGTGTTGAAATGTCTTATGCTATTACAGGATTTTATTTTTGTGGGGAAAACTAGATGATAAATCAGTGTTTCCTTCATGCTGTTCTCACGACCTTTTTAGGTTTTCCTTTTAATCTGAAAGAAATGTTTTTGTGTGTGATTTGGGGAAGTCCTGACTTTACCAGGGGAAATGGAAAATTCAGGGCAGCATTTTCAGAAGTGTGCCTTAAATCAGGCATTGTGAACTTGAGTTGGAGATCTCCTCAGTGTCTTGTCTGTAACTGCTGAGAGCTCACAAATTCCCACCAAGCTCAAGGGAAGCATGAGAGCTCAATTTTCAGGAGTCAGGTGATTTTTCTTGTTTTATGTGCACATCTAGTGAGGTTCCTTATATATGAAAATATTTGCCTGGATATTGAAGATCTTGTTATGATACAGATACACAGCAAAAGATTTATTCTGAGCAGAATGTGCTGAACACAGATTGTTTCCAAAAAGGATTAATTAAGGATTAGAAAAAGAGTAAAATATTACTGGCATAGAACCAAATCAGTTGATAATCAGAAGAAGATTGTAAAGTTCACTTCTGAGAGGAGGTGTTGCCTTTTCTCCTGAGATTTGTACTGATAAATATTGGTTTAAAGAAACCTTCAACCTGAATGTAGAATTTAGGGACTTTTCTAAATTACTCTGGACCGTTACCAACTGCAGGGTTGAACTCATCTCAGACCCTCAGGGATTTGCTCAGGTCTGACAGTGAATTTGCTGTTTTACTGGCTCCCAAAGTGAACAGCATCCTGCTCAGCAAAGGATTACAAAACAGGATATCAGATAATGTCTATCCACAGCATTAACCTAACCTAATTGCATGGGTGAATTCCAGCTTCCTCTCTGGGGCAGAAGTTTTGTTTTCAAGTACTCAGGCTCCATGTTTGCTACCATGGGGTTCTGTATGCAGGTCACTGTTCCCTACAAAAATGTGTAAGGGACAAAAAGTGTATTTTAACATCAAAACAGAAACACAACTCAATTATTTAAACACATAACAAGCTTTTCTGACTGTTCTGGAGACTTGTGTGGCCAGTGCTCATCTACCATGGGGCAACTTGAGACATGTCCACTTGAAGCCTTGTTTGCCCCACCCTTCAGTGCCCTGGAATTTGGTGATTCAGGCAGCTTCCCGTGAGTCACCCCACGCACAGGGAGCTGCTCTAGGTTGTCTTCTGAGCCTCTCACTGTGCTGCTGTGGGCTGGAGAGCCCACCAGGACAGTTCACAGTGGGAAGGGCTTGGGTTTCCTTCTGCTTGCAGCCTCTGGTACAGCGTTTGGCACTGGAGAGGGGCTGTGTCCTGCTGGGGCTGCACTGCCCCAGGGCAGCTGAAACACCTGACCAAAGCTCAGCTCTAGGCTGAGTCCAGAGCAGAGCTCTTCTCTCAGCTCAGCTCTGAAACAGGATCAACATGAGCCAGCTGGGAGGAGGGTGTTGCATTAACTCTTTCATTTCTCACTGTATTCTGGGCTGCGCAACCCATGGAAAACCCAGAGTGCCAGACCCTGGGACCAGGGCATGCAGATCCTGTCTGTGGGAGCTGCATCCTTGACAATGGTGCTGAAAAGGCTTTGCAGGAGCTCATGAGCAAGCAGCCAAATGGAGACTTCTTACAGGACTGCAGTTTGTGACCAGGGAGTTCATTTTGTGACATTGCTGGGACCCATGTGAGAATCCTGAGCTGTAGGTTTGGTGCCCACCTTTAAATGGATGAGAGTAACCAGAGAGGGCCCAGAAGAACTTAAATAGATGATTAAAGGCTGGAGAAAAGCTAATCATGAGAGCTCAGTGTATTTTGGGTATCTGAAATTATGTGAGGGTCACGTGTCTGGAGCTTGTAAGTACATGAACCATAAAACAGCATTAGAAAGTGGTCTCATATGTACTAGAGACAAACACAAGAGAAATCTTTCCTGGAGGCTGAAATTACACACTTCAAATAGAAATCAAAGACAGTTTTTCTGCAATGAGGATGATTAACTGCAAGAGAAGTGGCAGATCCTCTATTCTTTATTGTTTTCAAATTGAGACCAAACGTCCCTTTGGAGAATGTTTTAAGTTGAGCCAAGCTTTCGGTAACTGGGTGATCATTAAGGATCTTTGTTAGATGAGGGGTCACAGCACACACTGGTGCTCCTTCTGAGCCTATGACAGGAGAGTAGAGAAGCCCATTGGTTCTCTCTGCCTAAACCAGTGTCTGTGCTGTAGTTCCTGTGTGTGTTTATGTGGTGGTTGGCCCTGGCTGGACACCAGGTGCTCACCAAAGCCACTCTATCCCTGCCCTCCTCAGCTGGATGGGGAGAGGAGAGATAAGGAGATAAGGAAAGGCATAAGGGATAAGGGCAGGAGAGCTCCCTCACCAGTTACTGACACAGCAAAACAAAAAATCTATTAACAACCAAATCAGAGTAGGATAATGGCAAATAAAAACCAAATCTTAAAACAGCTTCTCCTCACTCTCCTTTTTTCCTGGGTTTCATTTTACTCCCAGCTTTCTGCACCTCTCCCCCAAGTGGTGCAGGGGGATGGGGAATGGGGGCTGTGCTCAGCTCACCCCAGGTTGTCTCTGCTGCTCCTTCCTCCTCAGGGGAAGGGCTCCCCACATCTTCCAGTGCTCCAGTGTGGGGTCCTTCCCACAGGAGACAGTGAGCTCCTTGAGCTGCTCCATCCTGGTCCTTCCCATGGGTGCAGTCAGTCCTTCAGGAGCTGCTCCATCCTGGTCCTTCCCATGGGTGCAGTCAGTCCTTCAGG